GCACCACTGGGTGGGAAGGAGCTGTTTGGAAGGCAGGAAATTTAGGATATTTAGAAAATTAAACAGTACTTTAGAAAAATCTTAGGATCTTAGAACTTGAAGGAACTTAGAGCATCTATAGAGCCAAATCCAGCATCTGTATATGGAGAAATGCGGGCCCAGAGAGTTTAAGTGATGTCCAAAGTCACCCTGCAGATCTAGGTGTCCTGCTTGCCTCTAGGCAAGAGCTCTTTCCTGCATACCAAGGCCCTCTGCCCACCTCCACGTGGCAGGTTATGGTGGGAGGGCCTTGCTAGGCTAGATGTGCTGGAATCCCTTTTCAAGTCGTGTTGGAGACAAGTAATGAGGAGCTTGGAGGGCTTGAGGGCCTGCTTATGTCAGGAGAACTACAAGAGGCAGCAGGCAGGGGTCGGCTCTGCTTTGGGGAGCTGAGGTTTCAGGAAACCTCAGGAATCCAGATTCTTATCCCTGAGACCCACTCAGGACTACCCCAGAGGACAAGGCTAGGAAATCTGCTTGAAGTGATGGAGGCAGCCAGGGGTGCTTATGTGATCAGGCCTTGTCAATCAGCTTCAGTAAGTTCCTCATGGATACACTCTCCAAACTGGCTCAAGGATAGGCACATAGCTCACATAGTTGGTCCAGATTCAACCCCAGGATTTCAGGATTTTTACTAGAAATCTGGTGTGGTGCAATACAGAGAACTGTCCAACAGTGATCCCAGGAGCTTACCCTGGGCTGCCTGCACCCAGTGCGGGCTGCGCTTGGAGCCAGATTCCCTCAGGTCTGCTGGCTTCCTCTCCCTGGCTGGAGGAGTTACAACCTCCGAGGGGTCCCAAAAGACCCCAGGTGCTGGGCAGTGGGCTTTTCCTGACAACTCCATAAATAGTTGGTACCTACATTCACACTGCTAAGTACCCTGATAGTCTGCCCCCACTCACAGTTCTCATACTTGCCTTATTACAAGGGAGAGAAACAGAAGTAGCTGGGAACGTACACCCACAGTATGTCCAACAGAATGCCCTGCCTCAGCATGTCTCTTTGTGGGGAACTTGCTGGCTCTTCTAACTGCTGGCTTGTACAGATCCCCACTAACCCAGTGTCTCGTAAACCTGAGTGTGTCGGGACCACCTGGAGGGCTTGTTAAAACACAGATTGCTGGGCTCACCCCCAGAGCTTCTGATTCAGTAGGCCTGAGATGGGGCCCTATAATTTGCATTTCTAACAAGTTCCCTTGCGACCCCTCCCACCCAGTGCCTGTTGCACAGCAGGTGGCAACTGTAAAAGAGACCCACCTGTCCTGAAAATGGAGAAAAGGTGCCCTCTTCAGTAGGGCTCCCAGGCTTGGCAGGAATGTGAACCTAGAGCTGCTTCTTTGCCCCCATGAGGGGGAAGCCTGCCTGAGGGTGACACCAACATAGAATTGCGAGACAGAGTGACACATTCCAGAGGACCTGAATCTAGCCATGCTTTAGGCTAACTAGATCTACCCACTGGACTGTTTAGTGCTGTGACAACAACAAAGTTCCCTTTTTTTCCTTTAGCCCATTTGAACAGGGTTGCCGTCTCTGGCAATTTCAAGTGTTCTGCTGAGGTGGAGAAGACAGAAATGACACCAGGAGAGAAAATGGGAGAAAACCTTGGGGCTGAGGCTCCTGCAAGGTGTCGGCTCTAGGCAGACAGAATCTCCTTTGCCTGGCTTCCAGTGGCCTGGTGGTTAAGGGCATAGGCTTTGGAATGAGGTGGGCTGGGTGTGAATCCCAGCGCTGAGGTGTGAGGTCCAGGCACAATACCTAGCCTCTCTAAGCCCCAAGTTCCCTTATTTACAATAATTCTTACCTCAAGAAGCAAATTTGGGAGCTTGGGTATCATCCTGGCATGAAGTAGCTGCTCAATCAATAGACATTATTAGCATGATCTTATGATAGTTACAAATCACACAGGCCTCAGGCTGTTAGCAGCAGCTCTGGGTCCCTGGCAAAAGGCAGGCAACAACCTCAGAGGCATCCTGGGGAGAGGCGGAGCATCTCAGGACCCTCCAGAGGCTCTGCACTCGTCTCAGAGCCAGTGCAGGGGGCTCCCTGATTCTGGTTTGGGTGAAATTACTGAGGATTACTTGAGGTGCTCCGGTACAGTTAGACCTTCCTGGGTAGTGGGGGCAGGGAGGTTCTGTTAGACAAAGATCAATTAATTTCAAAATCATTTAAGACTGGGAAACCAAGGCTGCTTTGGGATTTTAAAGGGGTAGCCCTTGGCTGATCACTGAATTCAATGTCCCCTTCCCCTTATCAAATAACCCTCTTTATTTCCCAGCTCCTCAGGGGCTGCACTGTCCTCCCTTCCCCCCCAGACCCCTTCTCTCCGTTTCTTTCGCAACCTCTGACATGTATACATTATGCAGAATTCCAGATGTTGGTAGACATTGGGATAAATAATGAGAGAAAAAAAAAAAAACGCAAAAAACTAAACTTTTCCCCAAAGTCATAAGGCTCTAGTTTTTGATTTGGGGAGGAATCAGCTCATTTAATGGCTTGTAAATGTGATCTTATAAAATTAGGTAATTTAGGAAGGTTTTTATCATTATCATCATTATATTAATTTTTCTTTAGTAGTCATGATTTTATTATTGCTCTGGTAGTCTATGCAGCCACTGGGTCCAGGAATTCCAAAGAGGAGCTCTGAAAGATGTGAAAATCTTCAAGAGTCAAAGGAATGAAGCTATTTGCTGGGCTCCGCAGATAACAAGAAGGCATGATCATCATCGTCATCATCACCATTAGGCGGCGCCACCTCCCAGATTCTACAGCTCCCGTAGCCAGCTGGGAGAGCTGACAATAGCTACTGTCTCTCTGCAAGCCATCAGTATAAAACTCTTTTCTGGAGCGAACATAAACATTTGATGATTTTACTGAGAAAACAGAAGACATTCCTGCCCTACCCCCAGTCCCACAACACACACCCCCTTTGCCTCACAATAAATATACTTCATGCATGGAAGAAGAAAGGGAGGAACACGTTTATTCTAGACTAATCTGAAGTTCACTACAGATGGTTTGGCTAATTCAGTTAAAATTAAATTCTTTTCTTTACCTATCCTGTCCCCTTCACACATGGGAATTGTTTTTTGGAGTTAAATTCCTTTATAAAGTTCCTATTGTATGACTGGGAGTAATTTCTTGACAGTGGGTGAAGATGCTACAGCTGTAATTGTTCAAACAGGTGGAGGCACTTAGAGTAGGGATCCAAAGATTGCCAATTAGGTTGGCCTGTGGTCCACAAGCCAGGAAGGGATTTGAGGTCCTGAGGATCTGCTACCCCTCAGGGTAGTGGTGTTTTTTTGTTTGTTTGTTTGCGGTACGCAGGCCTCTCACTGTTGCAGCCTCTCCCGTTGCGGAGCACAGGCTCCGGACGCACAGGCTCAGCGGCCATGGCTCACCGGCCCAGCTGCTCCGCGGCATGTGGGATCCTCCCTGACTGGGGCACGAACCCGTGTCCCCTGAGTCAGCAGGCAGACTCTCAACCACTGCGCCACCAAGGAAGCCCAGGGTAGTGGTTTTTGAAGTATATTGCTTCTGTAGAACCATAACTTCAACTTCTGCTTTGAAAAACTTTGAAGCCATTTAAAAGTAATAAAAACATTCATGTTTACATGTGCTAGGCACCAAATTTTAACATGTTGGAGACCACCTGGACTAGATTTTGAAATAAACCTCTTGCTGTTTCTGTTTAACAGGAGACTGTTCTGAGGTCACAGGGTGAGTTGTTAAAACCTTTTTGCAACAACTTCTCTGTGTAAATTAGACCTTTTTCGGTACTGTGCAACCAGAACAAAAGATGGAAACAAACTGGTTGCTGAGGCTGATATGGGAGGGCAACCGTTAATCTCTAATCGCTGATTTCAAATTTTTGTGTGCATCATTACAACCTTATAGTAACTTAAAACTGTTTTAATGTGTATTATATAATGGGGCTCCCCCTTAAGAATTCAAATGAGGAAAGGGTACCTGTCCTAAAAAAAAAAAATGAAAACCATTGCTTCAGATTATGTTGCAGAATTTCTGGTGCCAAAAGTGTCCTCAGAATAAATCCAGAGACCAGCTCTCTCATAGTGGCCAGTCGTGGATTTTGCCCTCCAGTAACTGTATCTTTGTTTTTTTTAAATTGGAGAATTACCCCTCCCACATTATGAACAGACTTTGTGGGACTATCAAGATGGGCCACCCTTTCCTGGGTACCACTTCAGGTCAATCAGATTCCCTCTCTTGGGAATTTGAATTATGAATTGTCCCATGCAAGATCTGAAGTGGTTGGAGGTGACTTATCCCATAGCTTTGCCCTGAAAACGCTGTCCATTGGTTTCTTTGGCCTGGCTCCTTTCACATCCCTCAGGGACCTATTCTTTCTGAGGCCTGTTGTATGGCTTTTCCTTCGATTCTTTGAGGTCTCCAGACCTCTCCAGTAGACTACCGCCACCCTTTATTTGTTTCTTAGGCTAGCCAGAATCGTTTCTGTTGTTTGCAACCAAAACATTCTGACTGATTTTCTCCGAATTTTGCAAATGGGGAAATGGTAGTAGCATCAAGAGGTCAGTGACTTCTTCATGGCCACACTGTGAGAACTTTGGCACAAGTGTAAGGCCATGCTCTACAGGAAGAAATGATCCTAAATCAATATCCACAAAAGTAGAACAAATATATCTAGGACAGAATTCACCTTTGCACTTCGTGTGTGTGTGGGGCAGGGGGGAGAGAAATATGAATAATGGTGTGGGAAATAGGGTGTGTGTGTCCCAGATCTTCACAACTCTGAGTCACAGATGTATTTCAATTCTGGTCACTCAGGCAGGATTTTGCAGAGACCCAGAACCATTCTCTCAGGACCCTAAGGCTTGAGGAGGAATTCTGAAAAGGTGGATGAATCTTAGGCTCTCAAGCTGAAAGGGAACTTGGGCAGATAAATACCTAACCAGGGATCTGAGTCAACAGAAGTAAGAACTGAGAGTCTGAGGGAACAGACCAAACATGCTAACAATGGTTCTTACCTTTAACAAGGGCTGGTGGTCATGGTCCACTGGACCATGAGCTCTGTAAAGAGAGGATTGGACTTGTTCACCACAGTATTCACAGCACCTGGCACAATGCCTGGCACCTAGTACGTGCTCAATACACATTTGCTGAATGAGTGAATGGGTTGGGCTTCCATGCGGTTGTTTGGACTCAGCAGCCTAGTAGTTTTGTCACTAACGGACTGGGTCTTTGGCTTTGCATCTCTGGCCTCACTCATAGGGGGCCAAATGGTGCCTGGTAGGTGAGCAATGTCTGGAAAACACAGGAGCAGCGGCTGCAGTATATTCCCAATATTCTAATTACTGATGACATTTACTCAGCAGCAACTGTGGTACAAGGAACAAAAGGTTATTGCCCTGTGGACATGCAGCCAAATTGACAGAAAACAAAAACAAGCAACTGGTAGCTTTTCTGTGTCTGTGTGTGTATGTTGATTGTTGTGTTAAGGTATAAGAAGCAACACTATTTCAGATTTATAACAAGAACAGCAAGAGTGATTATATCCCATTTTACAGACAAGTAAATAGAAGCCCAGAGAAACACAGACTTTCCCAATGTGCAGAATCGTGTCCCCAGCCTAGCCTGGAGCACCCATCTTTTTGTGTGTGTGCTCCATCTAGGTGGCTTGAGCTCTGTCCAGTCCAGGGTCTGATGTTTGCCTCCTCCATTCCATACTGCTTATGTCACTGCAGGCACAACAAGGGTCTCCAGTTGAGAAAGGTCCTTGGAAAGGAGGGAGTTTTAAAACATTTGAAAGAGGGAAGATTGTAAGTTGACAAGTGCGTCAGGGGAGGTGGCCCCATCTGTGCTGACCCCGGAGCCCCACTGTCCTCACCTCCAAGGACCGAGATACATGGTGGTTACCAGGGCTGAGGCAACTGCTCCGCATTATTCTGTCACATAGCCTCTTTCTAGACTCTTTCTCATGTACAGGCAGGCCTTGTTATTATTATTTAAAAAAATTATCTTCTTACATCACCATCGTTTGCAGTTTCTTCTTTCTTATAGTGATTCCTTGGGGAAGAGCTCCAGCTCTGGGAGACGCTGACAGGTGAAACCTCAGCTTTTCTACTGGCAGGGATACCCTCAGCCAAGCAGGGCAAGTAGGTGATGTCATTTAGAACCCTTTCCTCTCAAGGTGCTGGGAGTTTTCATGTGACTGTGCCCACACAGACCCTGTTCCTACCTTTACCACCTCTCTCCCCAAAACAGCACCTCCCAGGGTCCTTCCAGAGATAAAATGCTGCATTTCAGTTTCCCACAGACTCAGAATCTCTTAGAATCTCAGGCAACAGTTTGGGACACTAGGAGACAGGCCCCTGATAATCCAGGACAAAAGTTGCTGCCTACTCACCACACCCAGGCCCACTGCCTCCTTCCTGGCTGACAGAGCTGGGACAGGGAGTGAGGAAGGATTCCTGAACACCTGTTTCCTACTTGGGAGAGCCCAAACTCTAGGTTTTCAGAATTAAAAATGGCTAGGGACCAATGATCAGTGTTCATTTAGCCTGGGAGTGGGAAAACTCAATCAGATTCTCTTTCTAGGGCATTTGAATTATGAATGGTCCCATGCAAGAACTGAAGCTGTTGGAGGTGACTTATCCCATAGTCTTGCCCTGAAAACATTGCCCATTGTTTACTTTGACCTGGCTCCTTTCACATCCCTCAGAATCCTATCCTTTCCGAGGCTTGTTGTATGGCTTTTCCTTTGATTCTTTGAGGTCCTCAGACCCCTCCAGTAGACTACCGCCCTTCTTTATTTGTCTCTTAGGCTAGCCATTTTGGGGGAGCCTCCTAAGTAAGGCTCTAGGGTCCTCAGGCCAGAGCAATGCCCAGTCACAATCAGCCACCCCAATTTGTATCCGCAGACCCCTTAGGACAGACAGCCCAGTGAGACTGTGTATGGAGTTGTAGCCTTTCTTGTTTTGGGGGCGCTGAGGGGAGCTTCTTAGAAGGGGGAAAGGGTGAAACACTGAAAGGTAGTTCCTTAATGGTTCCTTTCTGCCTCCCTGGTTTTGGAGGCAGCTTCGGGTGTTCCCAGGCTTAAAGGAAGGGGGCAGCATTGTCTCTGGCGGCCACACCCAGAGATGGGCTTACCAGGAGGGCAGCCTCAGGGCCAGGTAACCACGTTTCCCCAGGACCAGGAGAGAGCAAGTGCGCAGCCCGCGGAACTTCTGCGGTGAAGGGGACTCGGCGAAGGGAAAAGGATCTTTCGGGTTCTTTAAAGAAACAGCCACACACCTTTCAATAGCCTATATATATTTGGATTTTAGCCCAGCCCAAGCCAAGTCTCCTTGAAGCCCCGCCTCCTAAAAGCTCCGCCCAACGTCAGTAGCTACGCCCACTCCCTGTTTTAGGTAGTCACACCTACTAGAGATTGCCCGCCCCAGAAGGGCCCGTCCGGGGAGCCCCGCCCGTGGAAGCCCCGCCCCACCCCGCCCACCACCCAGAGGCGCGCTCAGCAGGTGGGGTTGAGCACGCGGCAGGAACAGGCGCTGCGGAAGAAGCGGCACTGGCAGAAGGCGCACGGGTCGCAGCAGGCGGGCGCCGGCGGCTTGCAGCTGTCGCGGGTGGCCACGCAGGGGCCGGGCGGCGGGGGCCGGGGCTGTGCCACCTTCTTCATCGAAGCCTTTTTCTGCGGGGAAACGCCGGGTCTGCCCGAGCAGTCCACGTCCGCCCCACTCGTCCTCACCTCTGCCTGGAGACTCCTTGGACTATGGAGGCCCCCGACCAGACATCCCCACCTTCTGCCCACCGCCCGCTCGACTGATGCCCACAGGGCATCCCAGCGGGTCCCCGCCTGCTCCCCCAACAATGCCCCACTTCATCAAAACTTAACTGGCTCCGGCCTGGCCTCTTCTCTCCCTAGGGCATCCCACTCAGCTCCACCGTTTTTAACTACCGTCTCTGTTGTCTTCCCCTTCCAGTGTAGCCACAATCCCTGTCAGTTCTGCCTTCACAATAGATCTGGAGTCTACCCACTGCTTCACTACCGCTGCTACCCTGGGCTAGGCCCCTGTCTGCGGCTTTTGCCCCCTTACAGTCCGACCTCCAGTGCACAAAAGGGACCTCTCAGAAGACCTATGATGGCATCACACTCGGGCTTAAAGCACACCCTCCTCCCCGTTACTTTGGTCCTTGAGGCCCTCTGTGGTTTGGCCCTCCCACCTCTCCCACCGGTCTTTACCACACTGCCTTCTGTGCACCGAACACAAGAAATGAGTTCCTACTGCGGGAGCTTTGAGTTTGCTACTCCCTTTTCTGGGGACATTCTTTGCTGTGCTGTCCAATACAGGCAGCCACCAGTCAGCCATATGTGGCTGCTGAGTACCTGAAATGTGTCTAGTGCAATTGAGGAACTGAGTTTTCAAAAAACAAGGTTTTATTTTCATTTTACTTATTTTTAGGGTTACTTTCTATTTATGTCAAGTGATACTGGTTTTCTATATTGGTTATATAGGTTTTTAAATAACTATATAACCATGATAGAAAAGTTTTAAAATTAAAGTTTTAATTTTAAACAAATATATTAAATAGGTGAAACTCAGATATGGTAAAAGTTGTGGAAATGGTTCTGAAATGACTGAGGTTTGGGAAACATTGCATTCATCCAAAAGAATGAGTGATGGTGAAATTTCAGGCAGGGTGTGAGCTAGTATATAGGAAGATGCTTTTTAGCAGGTAAGCTATTTTGCTCAGTGAACCTTAGCTTTCTGGGCCTCAGCTCCTGGGGGTCTGGTTCAGGGCTTGAGGCCAGGAAGTTTGGGTAGCTTTCAGTTTCTTGTGGGCATGTAGGCCTGGGATATCTTTTATTTAGTTCCTAGCCAGAGCTTGGGGATCCTCTCCCTTTAAGTCCAGTCCCACCCCAACAATGTGAGCTCCCAGGCCTACCTTGGAAGATCTTCTTTTTTCCGCTTCTTTTCTGCTGATCTTTTTGGATTTCTTGTTCTGTGCTTCAAAGAGAGAAGGAGCAAAGCCAGTCTCTGAGGGCCCTGAGCTGCAATGAAGTGGGAGGAGCAGAGGGGGCTCCAGGAAGCCCCAGGGTAGGGGAGAAGATGAAGGGTTGGCTGGATAGATCACATCTTGGGACTTAGGCCAGCAGGTTCTTGTTAGCCTGGCTGCAGACCTGGAGCCAGAGACTGGGAGCAGAGTCCTCTGAGGGAAAGCAAAGGTGGCCCTGGAAAATGGACTCAGTGTCTTGTACATGGATGGACTTGTTTTTCCTGTATCCCTATTTTCCGTTTCTCAGAGCTTTGGAGCCAGTCATACCTGATTTGAATCCTGACTCTGCGATATAACAGCTTTGTGGTCTTGAGCAACCTACTTAATCTCCTTAAGACTTGGTTTTCTCATCTGCAAGTAGGATACTGTAATACCTACCTTGAAGAGTTGTCTTGAGGATAAATGAGGTATGTTTATAAAGCAGAAAGTCTGACACACTGAAGGTGATCAATCAATGTTAATGTGCCCCAGTCCCTTCCCTGATATATCTAGAATATCCTCTTTTTGAAGTGAGAGACAAGTCAGCAAGGAATATTAGTTTTGAGCTTAGGTTCTGGAGTTAAACACCTGGGTTTGAATTCTGGCTCTGCCAATTAAGAACTGTGTGTTAGTTACTTAACTTTTCTAAGACTTAATTTACTTAGCTGTGAAATAAAATAGGAATAAAAATAATACTCACTTCACAGTGCCTAGCACAAAATAAGTATATATGTTATTATTATTATTGTCAGATGAAGTTGAGCCAGAAGATCTCCATGCCAGGCTCTAATGCCCCTGATATTTTCTCCCAAGCAGTCATTTTCAATTCTCAACCCTGGCATGAAAGGACTAGTTCATCCCAGACTTGGTTATATTCTGCAGCATTTTCTAAAATTTTTACCATTGATAGGAGTTCCGTGACTCATTAAGTTTCAGAAATGGTAAGTTAAACCAAATTCACCAATTGTCATGACTTTAAGGTTTCTCAGAGCCTCTAACATGCTAAGCTGCGTATTCGATTGGTGGCAGGCAGGGCTTTCCTAAACCAAATGAGTTAAGGGGCACTTTATTCCTCCAGGATTGTTTTGAGGAATGAGCATGAAGGAGCTCTGACCTATGGCAGTAGATCCTGGTATCAGCTTGGGGAGTGTGTTTGACATCCTGCAGTTCTCTTGGGCCAGAGCCTGGAGGCTGGGCCCCAGGCTAGGCTACCTACCCACAATAGAGACAGAAGGGAAATCCAACAGGTTCATGGAAGAGTTGCTCCTTAGGCTCCTTTCATCTCTGGGCTTTTCCTCAGGTGCCAGGTGGCTGTAGGCAGTGAGGAAGCACAGGCAGACCAGCAGGGTAGCCAGGAGGAGGCGTGTGACATCCATTCCGGGAGGCCTGAGTGGGACAGAGAAGTCAGTCAGGTGGGCCAGGGGTCCTGGCAAATGGATGTGCCCTCCTGCTTTCTTTGGGCTGGTGCTCTGACCCCATTCCACACCCCAGTGTCCCAGGGGAGCTGGAGGACCAGCAAGGCTTAGGACAGGGAAGGGGAACTGATGAAGGAAGAAGAGAGAAAAGGAGAGATGGGAGAGGAAGAAAGAAAGACAAGAAAGGGAGGGAGGGACTTCTCTGGGGGTGCAGTGGTTAAGAACCTGCCTGCCAATGCAGGGGACATGGGTTCGATCCCTGGTCCGGGAACATCCCACATGCTATGGAGCAACTAAGCCCGTGAGCCACAACTACTGAGCCCGTGAGCCACAACTACTGAAGCCCGCACGCCTAGAGCCTGTGCTCCGCAACAAGAGAAGCCACCACAACGAGAAGGCCGTGCACAGCAATGAAGAGTAGCTCCCACTTGCCCCAACTAGAGAAAGCCCGCGCGCAGCAATGAAGACCAAACACAGCCATAAATAAATAAATAAATAAATAAATAAATAAATAAATAAATAAATAAATAAATAATTTTTTTAAAAAGGGAGGGAGATCGATGTAAGGAGAAAAGGAATGCATTGCAATTGGTCTCTGCCTTCCAGAGGGTGGGGCGCTGGGGTTTTTTAAGTCAGTAGCCCCAGGAGACCCTAGGCTTGGGCAGAGTTGTTGAAAGGTCCCCAGTAATGCCTCACAGTGGCAGAGGTCTTACTGAAGTGCAGAGAACAAGGCTCATGAGTTAAGACTAAACGAGACGGTGTAGGGATAAATGGCTTTTTTGGACAAGTGTGTAAGTCATTGCATATGCTATATTCCGACATCCAGAGGAAATAAATGCAGATATGGTTTGCGTCAGGAGGATAGGATGGACCTGTTCAAATAGGCTAACTATATTTATCTATTTATTGCTAGCTGGATTTTGATGAACCAGACAGATCCCAGAGCGGATTTCTTCCCATGAATGTCTAGGTTTGGCTTAGTGAGGGCTCACAGCTTCAACAGCATCTTCATCTTCTCTGAGTGTGGAATCCCTACTCCTCACCCACCCTGTGCGTGTTCTTTCTGTTCTGGGAAAAAGCTGAGACTGCTTTGCCAAGGTTCTCTGGCCCTGCCATAAGGCATAGTGGGTGAGAAGAGAATAAAACAATCTGCTCGTGCTGGTCCTGCCCATTCCTGGGCTCAGCCTGGCAATTTCTAGCCTATTCCTCCCAGCCCTCAGATTGCTTAGAGTAAAATTTTCTCCATTTCTGTTACATTCCAGGAGAAGGAAGACCCAAATAGCCAGCCCCCAACCTCATTCTAAACTTCTTAAAGGTAGAGGGGACAGTCCCTTCCTTTTGAAGTTCGTCCTCTACCTCTCTCAGCCCTCACTCCATTTCTTCTGATTCCTTCAGCTCCTTTCATCAATGGGCATTTATTTGCCTATCATGAACTGGCCACCAATTTTCTTTCTCAAAGCCTGGTAGTGAGTCAACAGAATGAGCACTGGGCTCGGAGTCAGGACCTCTGAGTTCTTGTCTTGGCTTAAGCATTAGTAAAGGCGTGACTTTGGACAAATCCATTCTTTTTTTTCTTTTTAATGGACTCTAATTTTCTTTTTGGTAAAATGAGGGGAGTGGGCTAGGTGAATGGTTTGCATTCATTTAGCAGGGGAGCTCTTTCTTCAAATAAACAATGACTTGAAGAATCCCAATGTATAAAACAGAAAGAGGCAATACAGAGGTTTTTCAAGCAGTTCACATCTTTTTTGTGTGGTGGGACAATACTTCTCCTCAGGCCCTAGAGCCCAAAACATTTTTTGAGGCCCTACGTTTCCCAGCTCCATGCAGTTCCATCTCAGAGGTTTCTAGTCCCTATCAGCAATAGTTAACCCAAACAAACATTTATCAGGAAAGTCTGGGGACTGAGGCATAGTAATTTGCTCCATCCTCTGCTTCTCAGAACTTTGTACTGTTCTCTGTCAAATACTTTATCACATTGTTTGTGTTTGTCTCTCCCACTTAATAAAAAAAAGGTCATGTTTTACTCGTTTTTGTGACCATGAACCTGGCACAGTGACCAGCCCCAAGCAGTAACTTGGACCCTTCTTCCTAGCAGGACTCCCTCTCTCTCTCTCTAATGATGATGCTGGGCTCTCAGCTTGGAGAGCAATTTCTCCTTCTCTCTTGTTGCCCACACCCAGTCAATCAGTCATTAAGTTCTAGTGATTTTCACTCCCCCCAATTCTCACAACCCTCCCTCCCTTTCCATTCCTTCTGTCCGTGCAGCCTAGTTCCTCCCACTTGGTCTTCCATAAGAGCCTCCTCACTGGCCTCCTCAACTCTAGAACATATAACCAGACTAAGCTTCCTTTTAAATAAAGCCCCATTTCCTTTCATTCATTCATTCATTCATACCTACATTCATTCATCTAGTTAAAAAATATTTGTTAAGTACCAACTATGAACCAGTGCTATGCTAGATTCTTGGGTAAAAATAGTGATCAAGGGGCTTCCCTGGTGGCGCAGTGGTTGAGAGTCTGCCTGCCGATGCAGGGGACACGAGTTCGTGCCCCTGTCCGGGAGGATCCCACATGCCGCGGAGCGGCTGGGCCCGTGAGCCATGGCCGCTGAGGCTGCGCGTCCGGAGCCTGTGGTCTGCAACGGGAGAGGCCACAACAGTGAGAGGCCCGCGTACCGCAAAAAAAAAAAAAAAAAAGATACACAATGATGCCTGTCCTTACAGAGCTTACATTCTATCAGGGATGACTGACAAGTTAAATAAGTTATTCTAATAAAGCTTGTGCTATGGGAGACCTCAACTAGTGCATGGACTAGGGAAGGTCTCTTGAAGCATGTTGTATTGAAGCTGAAAACAGAGGGCTGATTTGGACTTATCCATGTTGAAGAGGAGAGTGGAGGTGGTGATGGCAGTGTTGCAGACACTGAGAACCATATACATGAAGATCAAAAGGCAAGAGAGGATGGTGCATTTGAGGAACTAGAAAAGATCAGTAAGGTTGGCAAATAAACATAACAGGAGATGGAAGCAGGGGCCAGATCATGATGGGACTTGTAAACCATGGTAAGGAGTTTGAACAATATCTTTTTTTTTTTTTTTTTTTTTAGCGGTACGTGGGCCTCTCACTGTTGTGGCCTCTCCCGCTGCGGAGCACAGACTCCAGACGCGCAGGCTCAGCGGCCATGGCTCACGGGCCCAGCCGCTCCGCGGCATGTGGGATCTTCCTGGACCGGGGCACGAACCCGTGTGCCCTGCATCGGCAGGTGGACTCTCAACGACTGCGCCACCAGGGAAGCCCTGAACAATATCTTAAGGTCGATGGAAAATGAATGAAAAGTTTTGAATAGGGGGAGGGACTTGTTCAGATTTGCATTGTAGAAAGATCCCTCTGACTGGGGTGAGGAGATGGAGGGGACAAGACTGAAAGGAAGGAAAACCAATTAAGAGGCTGCTGCTGGTTCCAAGCATTCTATTCCTCTGCAGGGGTTACCCTGACTACCAAATGAAATACATAATCCATAGCCTCAAAAAGGCACCAGAGCCCTCTCAACCTGCCTTCCACATTCCTTTCCAGCTTTATCTTTTCCTATAGGAAGTATATATCCTAGCCAAGCTTGGCTACTACCTGCTCCCCATACAAAGCTCGTCCTTTACCACTTCTTAAGCCTGAAAACTTCTGACCTAAGCACAGTACTTAGCTTGTTATACAAGCATTTATTTACTAACCACTGAGGCGGAATCTGTAGCTGTTAATGACTGCAGTATTCGTTTGCCCTTCCCATATTTCATGTAGCATTTGTACAGTCTTCAAGCTAAAAATGTTTTTCACGTTTGTAAAGTGTTCTATTAAAAAAACCCAACAGAGACCCTATGTGGTCCACAAAGCATAAAATATTTACTCTCTGGCCTTTCACAGAAAAAGTCTGCTGACCCTGTCTAGATTGTGAGAATTGCGAGGGGCTGTTAGGCAAGCCAGCACGTCACGTCTGCTCTCTCAATATCTACTAACTGATTGAAGTAATTAACTGCTTCTTTGGGTAAAGGTATTGATGATCCTTATTAAAAGACCAATGTGACTTGGGAAAGTTAACTTGTGCCATTACCAACCAATAATACTTGTCATTAATTTATCAGATTTCAGATTCGTTTTAGGACAGGGCTGGGTCCTAATGAGACAAGAGTTAGGATTGGTAAGTTTTG